CTACTACTACTACCACTATTACTACTACTACTACTACTGCTACTACTATTACTACTACTACTACTACTACTACTACTACTTGTATTGGTGCTACGGCTACGTCTGCTACTACTACTATTACTACTACTACTACTACTACTACTACTACGACTACTACTAGTACTACTACTAGTACTACTATTAGTACTACTACTACTACTACTACTAGTAGTACTACTACTACCACTACCACTACTACCACTACTGCTACTACTGCTACTACCACTACTACTACGTCTACTACTACTAGTACTGCTACGACTACTCTTATCACGAAAACTAGGACTGCGACTGCAACGACGACTACCAGTTTGTTTACTACCACCACTACTATCACGACTACGGCTACAACTACTGCGGCTACTGCCATTACTACTACTATTACTTTTTTCACGCCTACGACAACGACTAGTGCGAGTATTTCTTCGTATACCACTACTACTGTTTCGTCTACTTTCACGACTGCTACTATTACGCGTAGTACGATTATTACTGCTACTACTACCACCACCACCACTATTTCTTTTACTGCTACAATTAGTGGTCCCACTACGATTAGTATTACTATTATTACTGCTATTACTACTACTACTACTACTACTACTACTACTACTAGTAATTACTAATTACTTCTACTGCTACTACTACTACTACCACTACTACTACTACTACTACTACTATTACTACTACTACTACTACTACGACTACTACTACGACTAAAACTACTACGACTACGACTACTATTACTACTCTTACTACTACTACTACTACTACTACTACTACTACTACTACTACTACTACAACATCTACTACTACAACAGCAACTACTACGACTACGACTACTACTACTACTACTTCTACTTCTACTACTACTACTACTACTACTACTACTAGTTCTACTGCTTGTACACAGTACTCGTATTACCACTACTACGACTACTACAAGGCGTGGGTGTTGATTGCGGAGTCGAGTTTGATTGCCAATCGAGAGCTCATCGGGGGGAGGGGCCGGTCAGTATTACAGACACCCTGAGGTGACATTGGAGTTCGATGTTGGAGGGCACGCTCACCAAATGCCCTGTTTTGGTTCATGTCCTCCCATCTCCCACTACTCTCTTTTCTCTCCCTCCCTCCTACCCCTCCACTTCCTCCTGGAGGGGTGAGGATAAGGAAAGCGGGGGAGATGGAGGGAGAGGAGGGAGAGGAGGAACGGGAGAACGGGGAAGACACGGAGGAGGGACGGGTGGACGTGGGAGGTGGAGGAGGATGTAAAGAGGGGATGGGGAGGAGGGGGATGGATGAGCTGGATGGGGATGGGGGAGGAGGGGATGGAAGGATCGGGAGGAGGAGATGGAGGACGCTGTTGCTGCAGGTGCGCAGCACGAAGCAGGGCTTCCTCGGCCACTACGAACGTCCGGGGGAGTATGCGTTCCAAGTAGGCGGGATGATCCTCATCTCTTGGCTCCCGGGTCTCGTCGTTGTCTGTCTCTTTTCTCCCTCTCAGTCGCTTGTTCTCTTTCTTCTCTCTTTCTCTCTCTCTCTCTCTTTCTCTCTCCCTCTCTCTCTCTCAATCTCTGTCCCTCTCTCTCTCTCTCCCATTTCGGACATCATCGGACGCGTGTCCGCGCCATGCGCGCGGCGGGCGATCGCCGACCCTGGCCGCGCAGAGGACACTCGACCGTCAGAACCAACCTCCCCGCACGACGTGTTCCCCCAGACAAGCTCGCGCCGTGCAGAAATCCCGACGGGCGCTTATTGGTTCGCTTTTGGCCTCGGGGAGCCCTCACGGGGCCCCGGCGCAAATGGTTCGGGGTGAAACGCCGTCCCTGGGAAGAGGGTCGAGACCTTCTGGGACCGCGTATTGAACGATCAAGACATCGAATGTTGGTCATGAGAAAAAACACACAGACACAATTAATCTTCGATTCCCCAGAAAATATGGGAAAATATGGGAAGTGGGGGGGAAGACAAAGACCCAACAAATATAGGAAAATGTGGGGAGTCCTTTTATTAGTGTGTATTCATTTGTGCGTCCCAGGGCCCCTTCAGTTTGGGCCCCTGTCTTCGTTCGCACGAGGTGGTTTCGCCGGATCTGTTTCGCTTGGGTCGATTTGGCTGGCGGTCGGCCTCGCCAGGGTCGGTTTTGCACGCGGTCGGTTTCGCCGTGGTCGGTTGCGCCAGAGGTCGGTTTCGCTGGGGTCGGCATCTTCGTGGGTTCATGTCACCGTCGGTTCTTAAGGACGGGCGTGGCGGGCGGCGGACCCTAACAGGCGTGGTGGGCTGGGCGGGCGGACCCTGACGAGCGGGTCGCAGTCAAGCGGGCGGGCGTGCTAGCAAGCGAGCTGGCGGGCCCTGACGGGCGGGCCGGGCGGGCAAACCCTAACGGGCGGACCCGTCAAGCATTCAACGATAACGCTCAGATGTAATGCAAAGCGGGGTTACGAGGAACTCTCAGGGAATCCTGAGGGGGGAGGAGCATCAGAAGGGAGAAGTAGGAGGAGGAGGAGGGGGAGGAGGAGGAGGAGGAAGTTCCGTAGCCATTTTGGCTCAAGCAGCCAGGCTCAAACAAGCGATTCCCACAATGTTCGCAGCTTTCTTTCTACTAGGCGTTACGCTGCCACGGCATGCGCCATATACGCCTTCGGCGGACGATACGTCCGCCGTACTTGTCGACCAGTTGGCCAGCTCTACAAGGTTCATGGACCGACTTTCACTGTCCATCCACATCACGTACTCAGAGAAGCCAGACGACCAACGTACGAATGACAACAATCTATCCGTATAATTAAAATACCGACAGTCCACAGAGCAAAACGAAGACGGCGGCACCGACAAACCACCACCGCTACTCAAAACGCGGAGCAGAGAACACCTACAGGAGCTAATACGCACGGTGACGCCCACAACATACGATCCAGACTAAGCACATGTACAACGAGTGCCAGTACAACCTAACACGCAAGACAAGACCACCGACGCTAGAATCGACAAATACTGCGTGTACATATCCGTGCCATTGGGAACTGAACACATACCAGTGTCCACTGCCAGAGGATGCACGCACCAAGAGGCAGACACACACACACACACCACGATTGCCGACCTACCAGACATCAACAGGCATTATTTTTCACTACTACAGCAACGATTCCAGCAAGTCCTTGGCGGATGGATGGTCCACTCCTGACACACCAACATCGAGACCCCCTGGTCACAGAGGCCAGCTTGTACACCATACTGCAGGAAGTCTGTGTATCGACTGGACCTGAAGTCGTTCGACGACAACGAAAAAAAAGAACACGCGTGACGTCCGCCGGCGGCCTTTTATACCCTTTACCTGGGACCAACGCAACAACGACATCGGCGACAACATGGTACGACGCACGTACGCCCACTTCAACGCAGACGACACGGAAAAGGGCTTCAAGGAGACGCTCTACAGTATATACTACCAGCGAAGTAACACAAGTACGAAGTCCACTTGGGCGAAGATGTACGGCGTAAGTACCAAGTTCACAGGCAGCGACGGCACCACGTTCAGAAGCACCATGACAGACAACAGCTACAACGTCACCCTGGGCCCAGAGCTGTACTCATGTACCACATATTTAGCAGATGCACTCTACACACCAGGCGCATCAGCAATTCACCTATCATGGGGGATCTTCACTATCGAACAACATAGAAGCCACATCACTCCACCCTCCGACATCAACAGCCATAATCCGTTGAGCTACAAGACCTATTTGAGTACGAGTGTGGTCTACTAAACCACTGGACTGGAACAGCACGTGTCGTACCCGACCACCATCAAGGCCCCACACCTCCGACTCACCATGACCTGACCGCACCAGCGTCGGACAACCCTGTGTGGCCTCGCACACTACCACCTCTCTTCCGCACCTTACCAGGCCTCATACACCAACGAGTACACCAGGCATAACATGCGCAACACCAACTTAACTTCATTCGGCCGCAGCCCACGCTAGACATACCCCCACACAGAAGGACCACACATCACCGACCGACCACCGAAGCACAATAACGAAGGACGGTCTCATAACCCCTACCTACATCCCAGCCGACCACCCACACCACTATACAAGGATAGCCCGCACATCTTCATGGCATTGAGAAACGACTCTACGGACGCGCAGACAAAGAATGACACAGGTGCCCAGGGCACACAAAAACGACGCTACCACAGCAACGAATGCGCAACCGGACTTTCAAGAATAACAATTCACTAGACAAAGCAAGACCCGACGCCAACTACGAGCGCGCGCCACCCCCGCGATCTCAAATATCAGCGCATCCAACACAACCGGCACCACCACAGCAAACGTGTCAACCATGCCCGGATTTGTATGCGACATAACAGACTCCGACGCCAGCGTAGACAGCAACGACCCGAGGGGCAAGATGCATTGAGCGTCGCACGCGAGATCCACCTTACCTAACTGCAGCCAAGCAACAGTCATGACATGCACTGCCCAAGCGCATGGGCAGCATATCACCGCCACGCCAGCGACGCTGACGCCGACGGCTACGACGACGACTGCTGGCACTACGCGGTCTACTACCCTGAACACACCAACGCCTACTGGTGCAAATTTCCCAACGACGGTTTACTTCTCCCAGGTGGAGCAGGTATTTGGACTTGTTTCAACAGCGAGCTTTGCACGCGCCAAGACGGCGCCCAGTGCCTGCCGCAGCCCCAGCTACGACCCGACCCGCAAGCAGCGCCAACCACGCCGATGATTTTTCTACCACTGCCCAATCCACACAAACGCCCGACGCTGCCCCGACGCGGCAGTCAACGCAAGCCCCGACGCGGCAGTCAACGCATGCGATGCAGCTGCGCAGTTGCAACGCTACAGCCCGTCGATCGCCCTCAGCATTGGCGGGCCAGCGCCGCCGACGGGCGCGCGCGGCGAAAGTGAAGGGGATGCTCCGACAACAGCCAACGCGACGGACGACCGACCAGCAGCACCAACAGGGCCACCGCCAACCACTAGCACCCCACCTGCCAAAAAAACAACCACTTACCTGATCCCCAGTACCAGCCATGACGAACGCCCCAAACCCCACAGACGAGACCGCCGACAGACCCACAGAACCGCCTGCACTACCGACGACCAAGCCTGCGCCGCCAGCCAAGAAACCACCACCACTACCTTCCACGTACTTCGTCAAAGAACACCGGCGACCAAGCAGAAGCCGCCAGCCAAGAAACCGCCGCCCTTACCTTCCACGTACGTCGCCAAAAAGCCACCCCTCACTTCCAGAGACCATCCTCACCGCCGCTGGCTGCTCGACCGTAGACGCGCCAGCTCTACTGCGCACGAGGCCATCGCAACATGGTCGCCTACGATAAGAGTCGCAATGCCCATGCGCCCACCGCCGCCAGTTCCCCAAATGCCAATCATCTGCCCGCCCGACGGAGAAGTGCCTGCGCAGCGACGGCTGCAGGATGTACCATTGCTTCGACTTGCGCCGCAAAGCTGCGCCAGCATCCAGGCCTCCTTCCCGACCCTTGCACGCTGTGACTCCCCCATGCAGAACACTTATGTGAAGCCGGATAAGCAGCGCGACGTCACTGACAACCGCGGAGGCATCTTCGTTCGCGACATGGGAGACCCGCGCTCGAAACAACAGCGACGCGATCCGTCCGCACCAGACGCGTCACGAGCAGTGCCTCGCCAATCTCCACGCGCGCAGCTACTGGCCAGAGGTGCCCCTCAGGGAACCACCGCGCATGGCAATGCCACGACTATATAGGACACCTCCCGAACCCAAGCCGCAGACCAACGGCCCCGACAGCAATGGCGCCGCATTGGCGAGCCACGACGCGCCGCATGCGCGCGGGAGGCGCTGCGCAATATGCCACGACACCGACCACAAGTATCACCTGCGCCTCGACTACCGCAGAACATGGACCACCAGTGCCCCCCTCCTCCTCGCAGCCGGCAGGCCAACAGGGTCCAGCGACAGGGGGCGTAGCAATCCCAGTGCCATGGCTGCTAGAGCACTTTGGCATAGGAGGAGCCAAGCTCTGTCAACACCACGCTTGCACTGGCATCTCCCCCCCTTCCCGACGCCCCAACTGTGGACTACCGACCTAAACGGCCCAACCATGTCCACCTCCAAGTTTTTTGTTCCACCGCGCGCGCGCGGCGCCGCCAATGTTCCCGCGGTGGGAGGTGTTTAGACAGATCTGAGGAGTGGGAGGGGGACGTCGAGGATTCACCTTTCCCGCCGTTGCTGCTTGCTCCACGGTGCATTCCCACCTTCTGCGCGCCGTTGCAGAGCAGCGACGCGCGCCCTGCGAGCTGGGGTACTTGTCCTGACCAAGCGGTAGCAGGCCAAGATCTGCGTGCAGACTGAGATTGCTCGCTCGACTTGCCACGCGCTTGAGGACGCGTGAGGACCGAGCCCAAGCTCGAGGGCGCGCGAGCAATCTGCCCACGACGGAAGGATTTCGAGCTTCCTCAGGAGGTACGCTAGACTTGCAAGAGCATCGTCTACAGTCTCATTAGCATGGCCCCACCTGTCCATATTCAGGCCAGACTTGTTTGACATTCGTTGCATTGGGCAGAGACTGCTGTCACTGGGCCAGCCAACGCGGTGTCGGCCTTCAGCTCGAAGACAACAAGGGTTCGTGCTTAACCCGATGAAACAAACAAAGAGCACGGGGCCCCAGGCCCAGGTGGTTAGAGGTCGAAACAAAAATTGGGTCGCAATCAAGGAATTGTCAAAACTTGCAGCCTCTCTACCTCCTCGCACCCTGGGCCTTCTACTTTGGGCCCCCCTGACTAACAGGAAGGGACCCGCTGTTTACATGCTCGCTTGCCGCGCCATCCTCTTGTACCTCTGGCAGCAGCAGGCCTCTCCTACACTCATGGTTAACCTCCGCCCCTCTCTTGACCCTCTGCTTGCTGCAGTGACATGCAGACGCACGATGTTTCCTGACAAAGCTTAGCAGCCCAAGAATTGCACACTTTGCTGGCATATGGTTACATTGGGTGCTAGTCACTGCAGCATATTTTAACCAAGGGCCACAGCCCAAGCATGGCTATATGGATGGGTGGTGGGGGAGACTTATGCTGGGATTGGTGGGGTGGGTGAGTACTGCATCGAAGGTTTGGGGCTAACCAGAAACGTCCGGGCAGCAACCCAAGAACTGCTCCTGTTACGGCCACCCGTACTTTAATTGTTCTTGCATGACATGTTGAACCTCAGTGCCCTTTGACCCTCTGCTTGCTACGCGGACCTGCGAAGGCGACACGTTTCCCAACAAAGGGGCTGCAGCCCAAGAATTGCACACTGTGCTGGCATCTGTTTGTTTTGACTGCAAATATCTGCAGCACGCGTTTAACCAATGGCGGTGGTACCCATGGCCGGCCTAGATTCGCTTCTGTCTTGCCTCCGTTCAGAGGTCAGCCTTACAGGCCAGCCTCAGCAATCTCATACGCCGACTTTGCTCTGAAGCAGCTTGTTCCCAGAATTCGGATTTTCTGGAGTTACATGATTTGTTGTGGTACATGCTGCTTCCATTCTGGAGCTCAAGGAGCTACGAATAAAGAATAGTTATGACATCGCCGTACGCAGCCGCATACTGTATTTCATTTCTTCATGCATCATGTACCTACAATGTGTGGGGATTGGGGGTGGCATCTTGCTACTGTCATATCTAGGTTTTATTTTGACAATGGATATACCAAGGTACATGCTGGTGTACCAAGCGGGCGCCGACTCTCTCTTCTACCCTTGTCGTCACACTTGCACTGTTCGTGCTTCTTCCGCGACGACAGCCAGGTACCCTTGAGCCGAGCCGATTTTACGTTAGCCTGTGTACACTCAACAACGCCACGTGCACTCGCACTAGATCCGCGCAGCGTCAAACATAAGGAGAAGGAGGAGTGGCGCCTACTGCTGCTAATCCTCCTCCTCCTCCTCCTCCTCCTCCTCCTTATCTGCCTTCCCCCCTCTCACATTCGCCCGCTTCCTCTCCTCCTCCTCGCAATTCTAAACCACTGCCTCATCCCTTCTCCCCCCCTCCCTCCTCCACGTCCTCCTCGTCGTCTTCCTCTTCCACTGGGATCCCCTAGACCAGGCCTGGTTCCGACCCGATCCGATCCGATTTTGATGCGCCCCTGCCGATTCCGGCTCCTGTCCGATCCATCTGGCATTTCCCAGTTTCGATTCCAATCCGGTGCGCGCATGTCGAGTCCGGTCTCGATCTGGCGTTCCCGACTTTCGTCGATCCCGGTATCGATTCCGCAGGGGTTGGGAGGAGGAGGAGGAGGAGGAGGAGGAGGAGGAGGAGGAGGAGCAGGAGGACGACGACATCCGCGGCGCCCCAGCGTCCCGGCGCGGGGGCGAGGAGGGCCCCGGCCCCGGGGGGGGCCCGGGGGCCCGGACCCCCTGGGGCTCCGCTTTCCAGCGGTCCGCCAGGTTCGCCCGCCCAGGTGTCCGAGGGGGCAAGTCCGAGAGGGGGGGGTCGATTCCGATTGCGCTGTCCATCCCAGCTCGCAACGTTTTCGATCCCGGTTCCATTCCGAGGGCTGGGCGAGCTTTCGAGTTTACGATTGGGCAGGCCGTCAGGGTCACGCCTGGTTCGGCCGGCTCGGTTCGTCGGACCGGTTCGGTCTGGTCAGTTCGGTTCGTCGGCGCGGCTCGGTGCGGTTCGGCCGGTTCGGGTCAAGGGCCGGTTCGGTTCGAGGATTGGTTCTCGGTCTTCGGTCCGGTTCGCGGCCATGATGGTTTCGTGGCCATCGTCGCCGTCGCACGAGATTTCGATTCCGATATCGATTTTGATGCGGCAGAGTCGATTCCGGTTCCGGTCCGACGGACTGCTGGGTTTCCGATTCTGGTCCGATCCGATGCGCAGTTTTCCGGTGGTTCCCGATTTGGTTTGTCGCCGATCCAATTTCGAGTTTCCGATTTGGTGGAGGGTTGGCCTGCGAACCCGTTCAGAGCCCAATCGGCCCAGCATTGGGCCCACCCAAAGCTTTACCTCCTCCCCCCTGTCCTCCTCCTCCTCCTCCTTTTCGTCCTCCTCTTTCTCTTGCTCCTCCTCCTCCTCCTCCTCCTCCTCCTCCTCCTCACCCTTCTCCTCATACTTCTCCCATTCAAGCAGGCGATATCGTGGTGCACCGTGGCCATGGGCAGGTGGGTGTGGTGGCAGAGCGCTTCGACGTGTGCCAGCTCGGCGATGAATGGCACCGGGCCAACGCGCCCGAGGGGATGACCCAGGGCCAGCCGTTCTACACTATCCTCGTCGACCTGCCTGGGAGGCTTCTCCTTCTCCTCCTACTCCTGCTGCTCCTTTTCCTCCCTCCTCCTACCACCTCCTCCTCCACCCTCCCCTAAGGATGCAACTGCTGGGAGGTGAAGTTCAGCATCGGCGCTAGTTACATCTGTGAGCAGGCCTAATCTGGCATGATCTTGTTTACTCTAGTGCGGCTCAGCCCCGGGGTTTATCTGGTTTGATGTGGCTTCATGGCCCACTGCTCAAGCTCAGTAAGATATAATCGTTCTCACGAAAACCTCTCAGGGGGTGCCTCATGGTTCCTCCCTGTTCATTCATCCCCTGCCGTCCTCCTCCCGACCTCCTCCCGCCCCCTCCTCCGTTTGCCGCCGCCGCCGTCGTCGTCGTCGTCGTCGACGTCGTCGTCTTTGTCGTCGTCGTCGTCGTCGGCGGCGGCGGCGTCGTCGTCGGCGTCGTCGTCGGCGTCGGCATCGTCGTCGTCGTCGTGGTCGGCGTCGTCGTCGTCGGCGGCGTCGTCGTCGGCGTCGTCGTCGGCGTCTTCGTCGGCGTCGGCATCGTCGTCGGCGTCGTCGTCGTCGTCGGCGTCGTCGTCGGCGTCGCCGTCGTCGGCGTCCTCGGCCTGCGGGGGGCAGGCCGTTCGAGCGCCACGGCGCGCAGAGCTCCCACCGCAGGTGGGAGCCGGCGCTGGACGCGGGGGTGCCGCAAGCACAGCGAGCAGACTTATGATGCTCCAACCTACTTTAGCCTCGATTGCCAGACAGAATTTCGAGCGCCAGAAAAAGTACCGACATTCAAGGGTTTTCACGTGTCGGGCCCTGGGAGGCACTCGCCCGACACTGTTTTGACACTGTTTCGACTCTCTTTTGGCACTTTTCCGGGTGCTCGAAATTATTTCTGGGATGCGGTCTTTGAGTAAGATGGGAACAACACAAAGAGTAGACGTAAGAGTGACCCTTCGCAGGAGTGACCTTTGGTCGGACACTGGAGCATACATATTACCAGTGGGCCGCGGTCTTTCAATCCCAGGACTCTTTGGAGGGTCGGGGACGACGTCAGGGTGGTTTGGTGTATACTTTTTCCCCCGTTTCTCTGGGGAAACAACGAAATATGTATAGACCAGGATCCCATATACACCAGGATCCGCTTTCTTGTGCGAGATTCAGTGTGAGGCCAAACAAAGGCGTCGGTGTATAGAGTTCGGTTCCCTACTTTGGTTCGCGCCCAATATGGTCCCCCGATCGCTGAACGCGAACTGGTAGCAGCGGCTTGCGCGCCCAGGTTTGGCCACCCCGCGTCCCCTGGGCAGCCGCGCACGAAAGGTCACTCTTACCCAGGGTCACTCTTCCGTACAGCCGAACACATCTGGTCTCCTCCCTCGGCATCGCTCGGACGCGTGTTTTTTCTCGGAGGTTGATAGGCCTCCTACCCTGACACGTCGATTAGCGAATCGGTCGTTTGTCGGTTCGCGAGAGGGCGCCGCAGGTCCATCATTGTTGCGGGTCCAGATCCGTCGGTTTCGGTCCTAGGCCGTTTTCCCTGAAGGGTGGTTTACTAGAGGGAGCTTTGTACACCGCCGATTTTTTCGGCGGGGGCCATCGAGGAGCATTTCGGGCCACCGTGCGAAAAGCACACGCGCGAAGCCGAAAGGTGCACGGTTGACGGGCGTCCGAGCGACGGCGAACTCCTCGCGGGGAGGATTCGGGCTCCCCGGAGGTCGAAGTTCGACAGGCAAGCAGTTGCATGGCCATCTATTTCGGAGCTCCTTGCCGGGGGGAAGGAGAAGCGACACCAACACCACCAGGGGGCCACCTCCAGCGAGGAGGTCCACGATGCCTCTCCGACCAAGGGATAGGAGATGTCCCGAGCGAGAGGGGTGACCATGCCACCAGGGGACCCCTCCCTGGCTCCTCCCGCTTGTGGTCCCTAGTGGTGTTGGTGTCGGTTTTCCATGTTTCTACCTTGCGGATTTTTGGAGCTGCGCTTCGCCCCCCTGGCGGCGCCTCTGGCACCGCCCCATGCGCGCTCCGCTCGCCACGGAGCGGGGTTCAGCGCAGCTCCCAGAATCCGCGCGGACCTCCGAAAGCTGGTGTTCGTGCCGCTTATTCTTCTTGTCAGGTGGATCCGAGTGGGTGGGGTCGGAGGGTCGCGCCGATTCGCCGGTGCATCGCCGAAGCGGCTCGATGTTGAGGCCTATTTTCACCACGCCGACGGCGTGCATCGGCGATGCATCGGCTATGCGGCGCGATCTTCCGACCCCACCTTCTCGGACCCCATTTGGGAGGGCTCCAAAGGAAGGAGGGAAGAGTGATTTCGAAAAGTCGAGGGACCTTCCCCCGTCCTGCTGCTGCTGCTGCTGCTGCTGCCACACCTCCCCCTGCCCCTGTTCCTGCTCCTGGTCCTGCTCCCCCCTCCTTCTCCGAGCGGAGGTCCAGCGAAGCCTCGATGACCATATTTCCTTTCCGTCGGTTCGATCGCAGACTTGGGAGCTGCTCGGGGCCTGTGAACGATAACTCCCCCTCCTTCCCTCCTTCTGCCATCCGTTGTCGTCCTCCACAATTGCACCATCTGAATACTACTCTTCTCTATCCCTAAGTCTGGCTGGAAGATGTCCGGCCCGTCTGTCCGCGTATTGCTTTTGACAGGATTCCGGCGAGTTGGCTTTTCATATATGTGTTTTCATAATCCGAATTTTCTCGGCCTTTCAACATGTTTTTCCAGCTGCAGCGGTGGCCCCATTTCTGCGTCTCTGGTTGTTCCAAATCGTGCTTTCGCTGCAGCGCGGGCGTTTTCGGTCCTTCAAAGTAGGCCCAACATTTAGAAAATGACCTCCCTCAAGAACATCGGATGTGATTACACATTTGGTACCGATTCGTTGATTTGTGGGGCCGCAGAAAGCCCCCCTACTTCGGGTCGTGGTCGTTCTGAGGAAGGATCAGGCGGGAGCCCCGTTTCTGATTTGAGAAGGGGGTGTAAAAAGCAGGGCCAGCGGATACTCTCCATCAGCCCCGCCTCGTGGGTAGCTTTCCGGGGAGCCCAGGGGGTCGGAAATGCATCCGCGACTGCAGACCACCCCAGACCTCTCGAAGACTATCCACATTCCCTCCCTCCCAGGAACCCGATGCCGCGCCATGGCACGCAGTGCGGTGTTGGGTTCTGTGCCGGTGTGCGATGCCATGTTTTGCGCTACAATGCTTTGTGATGCAATGCTTCACTGCGCAAGATCACGCCATGCTATGACATACTACGCTCTGCCGTGCTCTTCCACGCCATGCTATGCTGTGCTCTACCATACATCGCATGCCCTCTCGGACCATTGTTCTGCTCGACTTCCTATTGTGCGAATTGGGAGACGATGTACGCCATGGTAAGGGATGGGAGGGAGGGGTAGGACGTCAGATAGGACGCTAGCGCATCTAGCTTGCCTTCCCCGCTCCTCCCCCCGCGCACCCCCTCCGAATCCCTCCCAATCCCTCCCAATCCCTCCCTCCCTCCCTCCCTCTCTCCCTCCCTGCTGCTGCTGCTGGGTGCATGGTGGGCATCACATGAACTGGCACGTGTCTCGCCAGCTCAACTGGAAGTTCTCCCCTGTCGAGGCTTCTGCCTCCACGCCATGCCCTCCCGAGGAGCACGCACGATTCGGGCGCTCGCTCCCTTACGCTTCCCCGCTGCTGCTGCCTCCTCCCTTCTCCTCCTCCTCCTCCTCCCTCCTCCTCCTCCTCCTCCTCCTTCTCCAGGTGGCCCAGATGCGGCGCCAAAGAGCGCGCCACCCTACCATCTCCCACCTTCCCGAAATTCCCGAGGGGCATACTCCCCTCGCCCCGCGGCGGCATGTCAGGCGGCGGTCATGCGCCCTCGGCGTCCGCAGGTCTGCTTCGCGTCGTGCAGTACAACCCCATGGTGGCCAACACACACTCTCGCTTACTTGATATTGTCATGGAGCTTGGCAACACATATATTATTGCTTTGACGGGTACGCAGTTGAAGTCGAGGGGGGAGCAGTGGGAGGAAACACGGAAGATCGGAGGGTACAACGCAGTAGAATCTGGATATTCTTGGGGAGCTCTCACTTCGAAAGCATGTGGGGTTACCGTGTTGCTGAGAAGGTCCACGCTTCCAATGTCTTCAATCAAGAGAATCATTCCTGTTCCTAAAACCCTATAGGGACGCTGTCTTGGGCTTCTCCTTCGTCGAGGCGGGCTCATGTATGGAGCTTGCGTTGTTTACTATCACCCACGCGAGACCACTCGAGCTGCCCGTCTAGTATACGAACGTACTTTGGATCAGTTGAATATTTGGCTCAGCGAGGCTATGGCCTTCTTTCGCGAGCGAGGTGCAATCCCATTGATCTTCGCCGACCTGAATGGCGGCTTGCCCCACTCTCAGCAAGACGAAGTAGCAGGCAGATATGGAAGGGGAAAACCACGCCCAGTCCTGCTCGCCTACGCCCCTTTTCTGGCAGGATGGGGGATGACAAGTGCGAACACTCACGGGGATTGTCCCCCCACTTTCACTTCCAACACGGGGTCGGAGAGTTTCATTGATCACGTCTTCTTGCCCACGGCTTTGCTTGGAGTTATAGAGCGAGTGCAGGTACTTAGTTCGAGCGCTAAGAGGTTACAGATCGCAGTACATCGCGAACATAGGGCTCATAAACCGATTGTAGTTGCTTTTCATGCTCGCTTGCCGTCGACTGTCGAGGCCCGCAGACAAGCTCGCCCTAATCGTGAAGCCCTTTATCAGTGTGTTCAGACGGGTTACAAGCGCGCAGAGGTTCTGGAGGCCATGGAGAGGCTCGCGGCCAGCAGGGTGCAAGAGTTAGGCGAAGCTGGAGCTTCTGGGGATATGCAGAGGATGAATAGCATCTTCATGGAGGTTCTCAATCAGGCCACTTTAGAGATTCTTAGCGAGTCCCCGCTGTACACTGAGAGCCACAAGGAGCACTTAGAGGACCTCAAGAGGCTTTTAGCTGAACGTAGGGTTCTACGATGAGCCCAGCAAGATGATGCAGAGCATACAGAGAATATCAAACAGACGAGCAAGCGCATTAGAGAGCACAGTCAGCAGCATGGGCACGACATTCAGCAACGTAGATGCCAGGAGATTAGACAAGCAGCAACAGCGCAACACAACGACTTTGCACAAAAACTTGCAAGGTTCCTAGCGTGTCGCAAACGGGGTCCCAGGCAGCGTAGGTTCGCAGCGGTGCCAGGCTCGGCGGCGTGTGCTGCCAGCTGGGCACGCAAGCTGCAGCTGGCACCCTTGCTAGGTGGCTGCTCGGCCGCGTCGAAGACGCCTGAGATTGCATCACAAGAGGTTCGAGCAGAACACCGACCCCGCATGGGCACGACTGAAGCGGTATACAAGGCAGCAGAAGACTGGAACCTCTTGTCTAGGAGTGTCTGGAGACTACGATTTTGGCGCACTTGGCCGCAGTGGAGCACTCCGCCAGAATGTTTGCGCCTCGTACTTCGCCCTAAGTGGGCTAACGATCGCAAGCCGGCCCAGCGACATGGAGTGGGTAACGAGGATCAGCTTCCGAAGATTTCGCAAACGCGAGGTATGTCGCTGGGCTTGCTGCGACCATGCCGATTATACGACAGACACCCAGTTTCTTGGCACGGCGCGCAGGCGGCACGTATACCCAAGCACAACAGCAATCTAGACACAGAGGGCGAGCGCATCATCAT